GGGATGTAAAAGCTTCTTCCTTACCAAACTCTGATGAACACATAGGAGCTGCTGGGTGGTCTGCACTGGAAAGGATTCTTGGTCTGTGCCTGGGCTCAGTGGGATGAGTGCCAGGATCATCTAGCAATGTCTGCCACAGGCATGGGATGGGACAGTGGTGGCCTGAGTGATGAACTGATGTACAAGGGACAAGGGGGTAGGGGACACAGAGGTTGAGCAGATCCGGATACCTGAGAAGTTTGGCAAACACTTATTACAAACATACTTTTCTCTTTGCAGGGATTATAGGCAAATTTTCCTGTTACCTTTGTCAAATGTTAATTACTGTTTTTACAAAAGATAAAAATGATTATGATTTTTTAAAAATGCAAACAATACAAAAGGTATATAACCCTTTCCATCCCAATAGAAAACCACTCTTAACCATTTCTGGAATATTCTCCCAGATATATTTTTAGGTATACCTTCCCCCTCTACACAGATATACTTAGGTGATCTGCCTGCCTCAGTCTCCCGAAGTGTTGGGATTACAGGTGTGAGTCACCGTGCCCGGCCACCGACAATGTTCTTTATAGCAATAAAACAAAAAAACAAACAAAAAAATTTAGTTTGAAATCAACCGCTGCATTAGTTTTCATGGTTCTTTAGCTTCCTCCTTTTCAGAAGAGTCCTTTAGTTTTTCCTCAACTGAGGGTTAAAGGCCAGTTATTTCTTGGAATGTCCCTCAATTTGAGATTCTCTGTTTCCTTCTGATTAGATTCAGGTGATGCATCTTCAGCAGGAATATCACAGAAGTGACACTGGGATCTCAGTGCATCCCAGTACATGGTTTTTGCTTGTTCTGTCACTGCTGATGTTCACTTTGATCACTTGATGCAGGTGGTGGCTGTTCAGCTTCTTCACTGTGAAGTTACTCCTTTTCTCCTTAGGCCTAATTAGTATTTTGTCAGGAGGAATTTTGAAAATATACCCCATTTCTCATCAGACTTTCAATGTATTTATTTATTGATTTTTTAATATGTTTATCTTATTCAATTGGTCATATTCCATTACAATCATTATTTATTTGCTATTCAAATTGGGCAAAGGGAGCCCTTACAAGCTGGTGTCTGTGTCCTTTCCATCAGGTTGCCTCAGTCTTTGAGCACTTTGCTTTCCGCCATGGTGAGATGTTCCTGAATCATCTTGCATATTCCTTCTCTCAGTCTTGGATCCAACTGCTTCTCCAACAGGCCCTGCTTACTTTTAATGGAGAACGATACACACACACACACACACACACACACACACACACAGACACACTGGCATTGATGTTCATCACTATATCTATCTACACATATTGAAAATAACCCATTGACAATGGGACTGAAGTGGCTACATTGTCTAGGGTAAATACCTGGGGTTTGTTGTTTCTTGCCAGGAGCATTTAGGACACAGACACACACAAGTTTAGGAGCAGAGGTTTAATTAAGAGAAAGAGAAAGAGAGAGAAAGGAAAACAGCTCTCTCTTCAGTGAGAGAGAGGGTACTTCCAAGAGGAAAAGACCTGTGACTGGCAGCAGATGCCCCAGATTTTATAGTCCAGCTCGAGGAGGTGATTTCTGATTTACATAGGGATCACAGATTGGTTCTATTAGGTGTGACATTTACATAGCCTGGGGAAGGCTGGTCAGCCTGCGCTTATCTTATTATGCAAATGAACCTTCCCCTTGGTCAGCACCGTCTTGTCTGCTCCTTACTGTACATGTGGCTGACAAAGAGGAGGGAAGATGGAGCCACCATCTTGAACATGATGGGCACAACTGCCAGCATCTGTGTCTGCAGTTCAATTTTACAGGCTGCTCTTTGTTAGAAAGGAAAATAATTTGGGGCTGCTTTTTGTTAAAAGGGAAACCTTGCCAAAGACTTCCATACCCTTCCATACTATCTGCCTAAGTAATTTCTTAACTCCTGTATCAGAATCTTCCCTTTCCAACCCACCACCACAAGGGTCAAGTTGATTTTCTTCCTTTTCTTATGTTTCACTCTGTTTTCTGACAACAAGAAGCTAGAATCCTATTGCTCTAACTCTATTTACCTATTTATAATAAGTCAATATGTAATATTTACTCCTCCTGTGTACAACTGATCTCCTACCTTGATGGCCACCCCTTCCACCAAAGATTCCCACCAAATCCATTCAGTCTCTGGAGCCCTGGGGTGGCCAACAACATGGGCTGCCCCCTTCCTTCCCCTCTCTCTCCTTATAAAATCCCAGGTGGTGCCCTCCTCACCCCTCTTGGCTTCAATTCCCTATGCAGGGCCACGTTTCCCAACCTGGATGCCCTTCCTTCCTGCTAGGCTCTGACCCGAGCTCCCCTGCCCCTGCACCCCGCAACATGAACACCTACCTCCTTCTGCCCAACCAAAAGGCTTGAGCATTGAAATGCTCAGGAAGGGAAGGAACAGAAGAGGAAGAAAAGACTAGCTTGCATTTGAATATTCTAATAAGCCCCTTTGAATGAAATGATCTTCATTGTTTCCACTGTGGAACTTGATAACCCACTGTCATGGAGAGCATTCTGATTCAAAGGACCCTGGAACATTTGCTTGAAAAAGAAGAGTGGAGTGTTAAGGGGTTCTAGACTTGGGAAAGAGCATAGGTGAGGGGGATTTCTGAGACTGAGTGGGGACCACTCTTGGAACTCTTATTTTGTGTACATTTGGAGCCTCTGATAATCAGACATCAAGATAGGATAGACAGGCAAGAAATATATTAGGGGAAATGGCCATGTAAGGAAATGGGGAGGCAGAAGCTAGAAGAGCCCTCAGACTGTGATGCAGATCTAACCCAGAGGGAAGGAGAGAGGAGCAGAAGGCAGGGCAATGGGAGCATTTCACACTGCAGAGCGGTTCTAAGGAAAGTTTGGCAAGGACTTAGTGAGTCCGAAGCCACAGTCGCTCATTCCCTGTCTTCCAGGAATGGACCTTCCGCAGTACTCCCACCCTGCCCAGCCATTGGCTGGGGGAAGCTGTAGGAAGACAGGACTCAAAACGATGGTGGATTTCAGGGCACAGCAGCTGGGCCATGGGTTAATTATGTTTCCTAAAGTCAAGGATCTGAGAGGAGCCTTCTCCTGGATGCCCCATGAGCAGAAGGGTAAGAATAGTTACCTATCCTTCTGGAAGGTAGGACTGAATTATAACCTGTTCCTAAACAGAAAATCAATGAGCAGAAAGCTATAACCTGCCTCTTGAGCAGAGACGCAGAGAGAAAAGGGAGAAAAGATGAGCAAAGAAGAAAGGTAAACTCTTGTGCCAGGTATCTGATGAAACTGGGTTTATGATTTTGAACTAAGTGGAGATGCCCCACCCATGTATCCCTTTTACTGTGAATGAAACCACCTCTGCAAAATTATGACAGTAAGAGAAATCTGACATGGCTGACTCCATCTTGCTTCTAGCCTCACAGGTTGGCTGTCTTTGCTTATTCCTGGGTGTGGGCCAAGTTAACTTTGGAAGAAATTTAGTTTATAGTTTAAATGGTAATAGCCCTTCTCAAAAACTAAACTGTTCTTGTAAAACTAACAAAAGGCCACCAAGTTAGGAGGGTGAGAGGGGCTTGAATTCTGAATAATTACCAGTCATTATTCTGGAGGTCTTAAGATTTGCAACATCCCCAATTTCTATCCCAGATAACATCACTATTGTAGAACCTAAGAGTGGCCTTTTGAGATGTCTTTTCACTTTTTCACATTTCTGACAACCGGATGGCCCCACATGGACCTATCAACCAGTCTTGTGGCCTCCACTCAGGAATTGACTCAGCAGAAGAGGACAGCTTCGATTCCCTATGATTTCATCTCTGACTCAACCAATCAGCATGCCCCCATGCTAGTCCACCAAACTATCTTTGAAAAACCCCAAACCTCTGAGCCTTTGAAAAGCAGCCACTTGCAAAGCTGGGCTAACTTCCTAAAGGCCCACTGCACCCATCACTGCCACTCCTGATCCTTGGATCTTTGATCCCTTGATTTCATTCACACTTTACATTTTCATAATTGCCTTGGACTGTGATTCTTGGATGATGACATATTCTCATTTCTTTCTTTGGTTTAGTGACTTTGGTACCTCCACACTGGTGGGTTTTCAACTTGGCATGTTCTCTTGGGTTCAGTGGCACCCACAGCTAGAATTGGAGATCATTTTCTCTTCTGCCTTTACCCAGCAGAGCCTATCCAGGCCATTGACCTCCAGTCCCCAGTGTTATTGGCAAGTCAGAGACAGTGGGAACAGCGTGCTGACCAGAGCGCTTGAGTCCCAGAGAACCCTGGAAGAGAGTAGAGGAATCCACAGTCCTGTACCTCTGGGGTTAAATTGGACTATACTCTTCATCTTTGAATGTTGTTCATGACCTTCCAACTTTGCCTCATGTTATAAAATAATTTCAATCCTATATTTGTACAGCAATTGTGCATCATTTGGGGGGTTTGCAGCAATGCTAAGTACATGGTGGCATTTCATAGGTGAGAAAATGAAAACTCAGGGAGAGTTAAGTGATACGCCTAAGGTCACATAGCTGGACCCGGCAGAAGCCCGGCCGGGTTAGTGCTTAGTGAAATATTCTTTCCACAGCATTGCTGTCTTGTCTATTATGCACCCCCCAACCATGAATTCCCTTTCAGCTCTCCTCAGAGGCTGTTACATTAATTCTGATTCCCTCCCCCAGTTTTTGCAACCTTATGAAATAACTTGCTCTACTGAATCATTGCTTTACCTACAAGATATAATTTTATTCTACTGCCTCTGATTTCATTATCTCTGTTTTGTCACTCGATCTCACTTTTTCTAGGGGTTCCAAAGGATTTACAATGAATGATAAGAATGGAATTATAAGCACCAAAAAATAGAGAATAATTAAATGTCAGTCACGGCCATGACAGAGTGAATGGAATTCTGTATCTCACTATTTGGGGCGCTGGCTGTGTGATACTCATTAACTGTTTTTTTTTTTTCTTAAGACTATGAGTTTGGCTGGGAATTCAGCTGCACGTGATGGATCATGCTTACCTTGCCTTCCCCCACCTGCATGCCTCCCCTTGAAGAAGATAAGCATCTTTGGGAGCGAGAATTTTTAAATGAGATTGTTTATGCATCAAGGAGTAAGTATTAATAGCTAAAGTGCATTCATATGGTGATTGTTTTCTGGTGATGAGAATGGGAAATGTTATTTCTCTATTAAATTATGGAAGCCACTGGATTATGCATTACATGCTGATGTGCCAGCTCTGTTTCTCTCTACTCACAGTGATGCTTTGAGTCTCATTTTCAAACTAGACACCTCTGTAAATTGACCTGAATGTTCTGTGTGTACACGGGCATTGACGCAGAGGGAAAACAGCGGTTGCTCAGCAAGCACGTTTCTTCTACTCTGGGATCTGCAGTACAGGCAGTACTCTCTGCCAAGGTACGTTCTGGAGTCCTGTGCTTTGCCCAAGGTCCCCACCCTATCAGGGACATAAGTGCATCCAGGAAGGGGAGGGTCTGCAAAGTGAGTCACAGGGGCAACAGTGGAAGAAACCAGGGGTGTTTAGTACAAAGAGGCAAAAACTAGGGCACGTGTGAAAGTTGTCTTCAAATACTTGAATAAAGAAGTTCTGTACAGGAGGTTGACACTTGCTCTGTGCTACCCTGGAACACAAAACTAGAATCAAAAGAGAGATGATTTCTGGTTCCACAAAATAATACAATTTTCCTTTTTTTGCAGCATCTAACTATTCGTAAAGTCCTTTCAAAAACATTGTCACCAGAAAATAATCTCCATGACGAGAGGAGGTTTGCCTGATTTTTGTTTTTCTTTTAGTATCCACTGTTCCTGTGATAGTGCTTGGCACATAGGAACTGCTCAATTCATATTGGCTGAATAAATGAATGAATGAGTTGGTTTCTATGAGGGTTGATGTGATAAGCCCATTTTGTGGATGACAAAAATTGAGAAGTTTAGATATGTAAAGTGGTTTCCTAAGCTCACCTATGCTCCTGAACTATCCTGAACCCAGGCCCCCTAATAAGAGTCTACTGGCTTACTCAAAGGCTTAATGAGCTTAGCTTTCTATCATAAATTGGGCCATCTCCAGTGGTAGTTGGCGAGCTCCTTATCAGATTTCGAACAGGCTTATTTGCACCTCTGCTGCTGTTATGACCCTGCATCAGCTGGACAGTCAAGTTTTGAGGGGCTGGATGAATCACAGATTGGCTGGCTTTCTTACTGCTGAGGCGATTAAAAACAGCTTTTCACATTTCATTTTCTCCGTGTCTCCTCTCACCTCCCCTCCCTTTCTGTGTATCTTCCATTCTTCCCAGATCTCTGAAATGCCTCTGTCACACAGTTCCTCTCTCTCTCTCCTTGTCCCTCCAGTTGGGAGAAAAGCTGTTGTATTACCCTGTTCACACATTGCTATATATAAATACCTGAGACTAGATAACTTATAAAGAAAAGAGGTTTAATTGGCTCATGGTTCTGCAAGCTGTACAGGAAGCATGGCTGGGGAGGCCTCAGGAAACTTACACTCATGGCAGAAGGCAAAGCAGAGGAAGGCACATCTTCGCATGGCCAGAGCAGAAGGAAGAGAGAGAAGGGGGAAATGTTACACACTTTTAAACAACCAGATCTCATGAGAACTCACTCACTATCATGAGAACAGCAAGGAGGAAATCTGCCCTCATCATCCAATCACTTCCCACCAGGTCCCACCTCCAACACTGGGGATTACAATTTGACATGAGATTTGGGTGGGGACACAGACCTAAACCATATCAGCTATGTTGACTAATCACTAAAACTTTAGCAAGCAGTAGTTTAACTCACGACTTTCTCAGAGTTATTTGCTTATTTAAAGCACTGTAGAGAGAGCCCCAAAGGAAAAATATGTAATGGTTGAGTTCCAGGCACCATGAACCTTGGAGGATGAACTCATGTTGGAGGTGGAAGAGTGATATAAGAACCCTTCCAAATGGCCCTGAAATCACAGCAATCAGACAACCCCACACCTCATTTTTAAAAAGCCCACTCCCATGAGGGCCTTCTTCCCTCTTGCCCACCTGGTTACATCATCCTACCCCATAGCTTGATCCCCAATGTACCCATCTAGACCTCCAGCTTTCTTACAAAGCTTAAAAAAACTTCCCTTGGTGGAGTGGTGATGAGTATGTTTTAGTGTAGAAAGAAACCAGAAATAGAAATTACTAAACACAGATATTTTAAAAAATGATTAAAGGTGTGGGGACTTTGTAGGTGTGAGAGAAAACAAATCCATGGTACTCCCATTCCCATTAGCATCTCCAGAAAGCCTCATTCACATAGAGGCTGTCTATGACTTGAAGGCCTCATACCTGCTCACCTGGCCTTCATCACTCACGCCAGGCACCACAGCTCTGGAGAGCCTCTGTCTCCAGTCGTAGGAGTCCAGGAAACCACACTCCTTTCCTTCTCAGTCAACGGCATGGTCTCCAAAGAATAAGAAACGATGGGAATTTTGATGAGCACCCAGCAACAAGAAAATAGCCAATGGGCTCACTAATAAGAAAGCAAGCCTTCTCCAGAAAAATCTGTCTGCTTTACTTTCCCCTTATCAATATTGCTCTGAGAGTTAATTTGTCACTGTATAGCCAGAAAGCTCACCCCCGTCTTTTTTAATGTTTCACGCTAGGTTTGCCCAATAAGAGTAATAAAAATAATGACACCATTATTCCTCTTCTCTCTTTGTTTTTAGTGCATCACTTGCAGATTTTAATAATGAATTATGCTTACATTATCTGTACTTTCTTGCTCTTGACTTCCTCTACTGGCTAAAAGTGAAGCTATTATCCAATTGTCAAAGACTGAGTAGCCTTCCCTGGCACAGTCAGTGATCTTGTGATGTAGATACACTCTAGGGCAAAATTATCACAAGTACAATTTCAAGCTATATAAGAGAAAATTACCAGCCAGTGTGGAACTGAATCCAGAACCTGGTGAAATATTAAATATTTCATTAGTAATCCTTTTGGAACTAAAATAAGCAGACAACAGAATTAGTTATGAGTTGGGCATAAAAGGCTAATTAATGTTATTGTATTTGGTTGATTGACTTCAAGGCTATTAAATCATTATTTTATTGTCTGAATCTCTGCCTCACTCAGGCTAAAGAAGCCATTTTATCAGAAAAACTGTGTTTTTTCTTTCTCTCTTTTTTTTTTTAAACAAACAAACAAACAAAAACCAAAAAACTTCTGCTGCTTCTAAGGAGACTCATTTGTGTGCCTGAACTTGGCTTCTTATACAGTTGAGTTTGCATCCCTGAATAGATCTTCCAGTAAATTTTAGATGATATAAAATATACATCTGCCATCAAGGATAGATTGAAAGTGGATGGGACAACCACCCAGAGAGGTCAGCAACCACATCTGGAAGGTACTGCAGAGGTCATGTTGTCCAACACTTTGCACCAACGGGTGAGTGTACTGTATACTTTTCATCTACTTCGTCATCTTCGTCGCCTTCATCTCCTTCTGCCTCTTACAGATTTCTGGCTCCATGTTCCATTCTATAATCCACCATCCACAGAACCAAGCAAAATAATTCTCTGCCCACCTTAAACAAACTCATGCAAAAATATATTAGAACCTATTTGTGATGACTGTCTTCAAGTATTCACTCCCAATTCCACAGGTGCCACTTAGTGAGGACTAATGTTGAGGACCACGTGTCAACCTAAGCATCCAAAGGAGATTCTCACATCTTAGCCTGGGCCTGGTGTATGACACCTCCAAGTGCATTGGAAAAAAGGCTCCTTCCCTCTGTGCCATTGCAGCCCACCACCAATGAATGTATCGGGGCAAACAAAGTACAGAGTTGGATTTCAGCACAACTTGTTGGCTTGACCAGACACACGTGAATAGAGGACAACCTGAACAACCATACACAGTGACTCAGGATGGACTGTCTTTTGCTAGAGATAACTCTCAACAAAGATCTAAAGTGAGCAAAGCTCATCTCAAGGAATTTCCATATTTGCCTTCCTTTCCTTTCCTTTCCTTCTCTGGCCAGCCTATCTGTGCAGATGCTAGAATTTATTTTTCAGTCAGGAACTAAGAAGTACTCAAGGCTACTGGATTATGCATGCCATGCTGATGTGCCAGCTCTGTTTCTCTCTACTCACAGTGATGCCTGGAGCCTCATTTTCAATCTAGACACCTCTGTAAATTGAGCTGAATGTTCTATGTGTACACGGACACAGAGGAAAAACAGTGGTTGCTCAGAAAGCATGTTTCTTTTTTTTACTTTTAGTGGTAGTGGGATCCCTCCTGCAAGTCCGGGATTCTCATCTGATATACTACAGACGGGTATTTTTATTTTATAATTCATGGTTGATCCCTGCCCCTCCTCCAAGCTGGAAAGGCAAGGATTTCTTTTTAGGTACTGATCACATCTTATTAACAGGATCCTTCAAAACAAGAAGACTTTGAAATGTAAAGGGATAAATTTAAATAGTGTGATTCAGGTACCCCATAAGGCAACGAAGGCTTTTTCATGTATTACTGATTAATCTTCTGTTGTCTGCCTTTGGAAGGTCCATGGAATAGGCAAAGCTCCTCTACCCTGGATTCTGGAGCCCAGTTGGTCAGCCTCTGTTTTTCAGGTGCTATAGTCATTCTCAGCATGGCAGAAACCAGGCCAAGGAGCCAGGGCAGACATGAAAATCACCAGAGGTTGGGCTGTGGGTGGTCTGGCTAGAACTTTATATAGGTTGCTCTTGGCTTTTGCAGAGAAGAAGGGGAGTGTAGAATCCCTTTACATAAACAATTCAGACCCAACCCAAGCCAAAATGAGTAACAAGAGCCTGCAGGATGAAATGGTATTATCTGGTTCCATCAGTCTCACTCGATAACAGCTTAGCTTCCCACACAATGTAGAGATAACCTAACACTCACTTTTTCTTACCACTCTCTTTTTTCTTTTTTTCTGAGAAGAAAACGGAAGAAGGATGAGGAGGAGGAGGAGGAGGAGGAGGAGGAGAGAAAAGTTAAAAGGGATTTGCCCATTTTAGTGGGCATGGTGGCTTGGAACCAGGTAGAAATCTAATTTTTTATATATTTTTAAATTGGTAGTTTTATTTTCTTTGGATAAAACAGATGGATATGAAACTGGATCAGTAATTTGGAAAGAAATTATACAAAACTGGTGGATGTATGGTTTGGTTCTGCTTTTCTTATGATGTCAGTTTCCTAAAGATGAGGTTGCCAAAGGGATCCTTACATAGGTTTTGTGGGTAGACGTCACAGTGGGCTGGAATGAGGAAGGGAGAGGCTGGTGGGGACTTGGGTGTTTCCCCAGATATAACAGATAGTCCTGACTTTCAAATGTAGTGGATTTGTACCAAGGAAACCACGTTGGTATGTTCTGATTACCAGGGTACTCCTAGCTGAGAGGGATGGCTTTACAACAACTTCCTTGGAAACCTGCCTGCCATGGATCTGGAGACATGGGAGCTCAGTGGGATCCAGCCTGCTAGGGAGGCCACCATTTCACGTCTGTATGGTTGTCCTGTCTCAGTCCAGCCTGATGCCCAGCTTCTGACCCATGTAAGAATGCTGCTGGCAGCAGGACAGGATGGGCTGAGTGAAGGATGGCACCCCCGCAAAACCCAACACACCTGGTGAGGCAGGAAATGCTGCATCCATTCCATGTCCATTCACGGAGCTGCTGGGCACCCAGTGCTTATGCAGGGCATTCAAAGACAATGTAGGAACTGTCCCTGACCTTTAGGAGACTACCTTCTGATGAGCAAAGCGAGAAGAGAAACACACAGTGCCTAAGATGAGCTCAGAGCTTTACTAGAGAAAGGATGGGGAGGGGCCCTATTAACTTTTTGAAAGCAACTAGGGGAGTCAGTCTCAGCTTGGAGGCCATGAGGGTGGGGTTCGTTTTGAAATGTGATCCTTGCTATCTCCAAGTCTTCATTTATCTTGATGGGTCAATTTGGACTGTAAACACAAGATAGAGGAAAAAGAAATCTTGGTCTTATTCTGTTTCTCATGGGAATTCGGTCAGCTTCACTTACAGTACAATGTAACTACGTCAAGACAGCTGTACCCATATCAGATTGTATGTGGTCTAGTAAATGCTAGAATTGGCTTTCTCAGCCTCCATTTTTTCTCCATTTTATTTGGAAAAGTTAGAAAACCAAAATCTACATTGCCCAGAAACCCTGGCAGCTAGGATTCTGGATGCAAAATAGGTTCTGCTAATCTAATGCATTCATGGGGGATTTGGAAGATGCCAGCCAGTGGCCATCATGGCTGCTGGCAAGGAAGGCTGGGCAGAGATAAGAATATGCAGCAACGCGATTCTGCATTCCAGCATCTCACAGCAGTGCCACTGCAGTGAGAGGCAGACTTAGTGGCAGCAACAGTCCACTGGTTCCCTG